GTTAGGTTTGGAAAGGGCCTCAGGAAGTCATCTAATCCAACCCCCTACTCAAAGCAGGACCACCCCCAACTAGATCATCCCAGCCAAAACTTTGTCTAGCCAGATTTTGAAAACCTCCAAGGATGGAGCTTCCACCACTTCCCTGGGTAACCTGTTCCGGTGTTTTACTATCTTCCTAGTGAGACAATTCTTCCTAATATCTAACCTAAAGTTCCCTTGCTGCAACATGAGACCATTGCTGCTTGTTTTTTCATCTGCCACCACTGAGAACAATCTAGCTCCATCCTCCTTTGAACCCCCACACCCCTTTTAGGTAGTTGAAGGCTGCTATTAAGTCCCCTCTCAGTCTCCTCTTCTCTAAACTAAAGCAGCCCAGTTCCCTTCATCTTTCCTCATAAGTCATGTCCCCCAGGCCCATCACCATTTTTGTCACCTTCTGCTAGACTCTCTCTCTCCTGAGCTTAATATGGTAAAAGCAGTTAGAATGGCCAAGTGGCTGAGATAACAAATGCCAGGCTGCAGAAGCTGAAGGAAAAAAGAGAACAAGATGAAGTAGACAGGATTACAAGACTGCAGAAACCTAAGGCAACACAGAAAGAATACAGAAAGGAGGATCTCGCTATGAAGCAGGCAAGTGGAGGCCAAACAGAATTGCTTGAATGGTCAGCTGTAGATGCAGTGGGGCTTACCACAAACCCATGCAATGCCCTGCATTTGGTAAGAACCGCAATAAATGCAAAAGATTCAATCACTTTGCAAGAGTTTGAAGAAAGGAGCAGGATGTATCACACAAGAAATAACAGGTGCATGCTTTATGCAACGAGGAAAAGGAAGAATTCCTTGCTGGCACAATGCAAGAAGTTTATTCTTCTGAGGATTGGACAATCACCCTGGACACCAATGGACTAACGGTAACTTTTTAATTAGATATAGGGGCACAGGTCAATGTAATACTAAAATACATTATTCAAAACATGAAAACTAAACCTCCATACTATGAAAATAAGTGAGACTTAGACCATATAACGGGAACATGACTGCAACCAAGGGTTTTTGTGCACTGCATATTAGATACAAGGGTAATATAGTAAAAATTCAATTTGTAACTGTTCCAGGAAAGCTAGTGCCAATTACTGGGTTGCAAACATGTACAACTCTAAGTTTTTTTAAGAGAATGGATGCCATTGTGAGACTAGGAAGCAAGAACATAAGTTAGGTAGATATTTTATAATGTGTTTTATGATGTGTTTCAAGGCATAGGGAAAATGGCAAGTGGGTACAAGATAGAATTAAGAGAACCAAATACTCCCACCATGCATGCGCCAAGAATTGTTCCTCTTATACTAAGGGAAAAACCAAAAAAGGAATTAGATAAATTAGTTAACATGGACATAACAGAAAAAGAAGAGCAGCTAACTGCTTGGGTTCATTCACTGATCATAAAAGAAAAAAAGATCGATCCTTGAGATTATGTCTGGATCCTAAATAAATAAACAGGTACATCAAAAGGGAGCATTTTCTTCGGAAGGTATTGCTTTCGTAGGCTTCCTTTTGGACCGTGTTCTGCACCTGAAGTACTTCACAGAAAGTTGCAACAAATTTTTGAAGGTCTTGATGGAACTATGGTTTATACTGATGATGTATTAGTTTGGGGAAATACTATGGAAGAACATGATTTGAGGCTAAGAAAGGTACTAGAGAGATCTCGCAGAGTAGGTTTGAAACTGAACAAACAAAAATGCAAATTCAGGGTCAAAGAAATATCATCTGGGAGAAAAGCTCTCTGAGAAAGGAGTGCAAGTCGATTCTGCAGGAGTTAACGCCATGACAAACATGCCCCCTCTTACAAATAAGGAAGGAGTGCAAAGATTACTGGAAATGACCAATTCTGTACAGAAATATCTATCAAACTTAGCAGAGCAGACCAAACACCTTAGATCACTCCTACAAAAGAATTCTCAGTGTTTATGGGACCATGAACATGAAGCCGAATTTAAAAACTGGAAAGAAAAAATAATGAAAGCTCCAGTAGTAAAATACTATGACCCTAAAAGACCCATTAAATTGCCAACAGATATTTCTAAAGAAGACATTGGAGCAGATTTTCTTCAAAAACATGGGGATAGCTGAAGACCGGTATATGCATGTAGGGCACTCTCTAAGTCAGAGTGTCTATATGCACAAATTAAGAAAGAAAGTTTAGCTTTGGTAAGAAATTTCATATATTCATCTATGGGAAGCCTGTGATAGCTGAAATGGATCATAAACCTTTAGTAACTCTAGCAAAGAAAGGGTTATCAGATACGTCACCCAGATTACAGAGACTTTTCTTTCAACTGCAAATGTCTGATCTAGGCATACAGTACATGCCAGGAAAACATCTATTTATTGCAGATACATTGTCCAAAGCATATCACACGACGGAAAATGACAGAATTCCAGCTACAGACATAGTACATGCTAATCGAATTAAAAGAGTGATTCCTGTCACAGATAAAATGGCACTAATTCCAGAAGCTGCTGCTCAGGACGTTGAAAAAAGTGGCAACAGCTATTTGCACTGCTTGGCCTGGAAAACATATACCTAGCCCCTACTCTCAATTCAAGGATGACTTGTCTGTACTGGATTGAATTTTGTTCAAAGGCTCATGACTTGTTGTTCCAGCAGTGCTAAAGAAAGACATGTTAAACAGAATACATGAGGGGCATTGAAAAATACAAAAGGAGAGTAAGGGGTGCTCTTTATTGGCCCAACAAAAATAATGACATAGAAGATACTGTAAAGGCTTGTACAATATGCCTAAAGTACAAAGTAGGGCAAAGAAAAGAGCCTACGATGGTCATGGAGGAGCTCATAGCTCTGTATTATCAAGTGGGCATTGACTTATTCATACATGCAGGAAAAAAATATGTATTACTGCTAGATTATTATGCTCACTATCCTGAAATTGCATTGCTCAAAAGCACAACAGCAAACCATGTCATAACTCACATCAAATCAATTTTTGCTAGATATGGGATTCCACAAATTGTGAGAACTTACAACAGACCTCAGTTCAACTGTCTTGAGTTTAAAGAGTTTGCAAACAAATATGGATTCCATCACAACACTTCAAGTCCTAAATAGCTACAATCCAATGGTCTGATAGAAAATGGAATACAAATAGTGAAGAAATTGTTGAAAAAGGCTACAGATTCAAAAAACAATGTTTACCTGTCACTCTTAAATTATAGGGTAATATCCATGAAATATGGACTGTCCCCAGCAGAAATGCTGTTTAACAGGAAACTCAAAACTCGGCTGCCAAATCTTGTGGATGATGCTCATCAGAATGAAAAGCAAGACATGAAAATACTTAAAAAATTCAAAAAACTTAAACCAAAAATGGTACTATAAAGTAATCACACCAGAAGGACAGGGATTAAGAAGGAATCGATGGCACTTGCAGCTCATAAAGGGGAGAAAAGAAGCAGCATAACGAGAGTCACCAAAGGAAACAGAGCTAACATCAAAGCAATAAGAAACGACAGAGGAGATGGAAAATGACGCAGAGATATCTGGACGAGGAAGCTGAACAAGAGCTGAACCAATAAGGACTGAGAATGCAGAGAGACTGAGAAGATCACTTAGAGCTAAAAAGCCAGCACAAGGACTAATAGAGACTTATTAAAATGTGTTTTAACTATGGGTTGAACTGAACTACCAATGTTAGTATTATATGGGGATGTTACATTTAAAGGGGGATGATGTGTGGGATACCTTTAAGAGTGTTATGTATAAATTGTGACATTTGCCTGGGGATTTTGGAGGGAACAGCAGAACTGCAGGCAGGGTACTGCTGTCTGAATAAACAAGTGTTATTGTTCTATAAGCTTAACTTAATCTTCTGCGAACTACACACTGCATGCAGTTCTGGGCTCCATATTTTAAAAAAGGATGTAGAGAAGATAGAGAGGGTCCGGAGACAGACAACAAAGATGATCAAGGGCTTGGAAGGCAAGTTATATGAGGACAGGTGGAAGGATCTAGGCATGTTCAGCTTGCAGAAAAGGTACTTAAGAAGGGACATGATAACAGTCTTCAAATACTTGAAGGGCTGCCATCAAGAAGAGGGAAAGTGCCTTTCCTTTTGTGCTGCAGAGAGGAGGATGAGGACCAATGGCTTGAAGCTGAAGCAAAGTAAGTTTAGACTGGATATCCAGAAAACCTCTTCAGTGTGAGAATAGTAAGTCAGTGGAATAGTCTCCCTAGGGAAGCTGTGGACTCTCCATCACTGGAGGTGTTCAAAACTATGTTGAATAGCCACTGGTCAGGGATGATCTAGGTGTAGCTATGCCTATTTTCTATCATGGGTATTTCCCATGCTTTTAGGCTTCGCTGATTGATCCCACCCCCGAGCCTTTTCCTGCTGTACGTGTAAGTTCTATTTTTAAGCCTTCCCAGAGGCACTGGTTGATAGCTATGGTTCAGACTTGGGACCTCACCTGGGGTGTGCTGATTCTCCTGCTAGGATCAAAGCCAGAGGTTCCTGGCTAGAAGGTCTTGCCCCTCTGCTCAAGGTCACTCTGATCAACAAATCTGGGGTCAGGAAGAAATTTCCTGGTCAGAGTGGTATGGACTGTGAGGGTTTTTGCCTTGCTCTGTAGTGGGATCGTGACCCTCTACCCAGGACCTCTGTCTGTGTTGTGTCAGGTGTGATGGTAGTCTTATGTAGAATTTAGATTATGGTTTGTATGGGAAGGTTTGAATAGGGATGATTCTACCTCAGGCCGGGGGTTGGACTAGACCACTAGGCCACTAATACCCAGCACTTCTACCACGGGGCGGTGTGCACACCTTCAGATAGGCAGACAAACACATATACAGACAAGACTTCAGGTGGTTCTGACACACCACCTATACAAACACACAGAAAACATCATGCACATCATCACACACAGACATACATACACACAAAACAACCACTCTATGCATACAGACAGACACCAGATATACTTACCAGCAATAGTTGCTCAGTGTTTAACACGGGGTGGCCAACCCTGTGTTCACAGAGTAGCTGAAATGTTGTAGCTGATGATGGGGATGAGCTGGAGAAAGGTGAGAAGCAGGCGCGCCTGTGCTCCGGAAGGAAGACAGAAGATTTCTCACCTAGCTTGACATAGTTTGTGTTTTCCTTATACATGGTTTTCAGTCTCTGTTTTACTTCTTGGGGTTCTTCCATGCTTAGTCTGTGTTTCTAGCAGCTTCTCTGCATCCATCTTTTCTTTATCTTACACTGAGGTCACTACAGTTGTAAAAGATGGGTCTCAACCTTGAAGCTTTCTTGTTGCCCACATGGCAGCATTTCTGCTTCTGTTATCTCCTTTGTGCCCTCAAACCTCAAAGGGATTCTTCAGCCATTTGTTAGTTAGTTGCTGGCTGGTGGTTTACACCTCTGGTGCCTTATTGCTTACATAAACAATTACATCCTCTCTCCTTTTCTCATGCAAGCTCCCATTCACTCACCCCTTGCCCATATCTCTCTCATGCCCAGGGCGTACAAAGTTCATTCACTTATGTCAAGCTGGAAGCATCATAGAATATAGTCAAGCAGCTACCTTTTAAAAGACAGAAATCAAATTATTACATTCGTGCTAGATTCAACTATACTAAGAAAAAATTTAACCAAATGCTACAAATGCCTCAGGCAGGGGGTTGGACTAGATGACTAGACGGGGCTGGAAGGGTGTCCCTTCCAGCCCCAATTCTCTCTGGCTCTATGACTCTATGAGTCAGGGTGCCTATAACACAACAAAAATGGTGGCTGCACCACAAGACAAGAATGTTCCAGTTTGAAACAGGGACTTCTTCATAGTACTACCTTTAGTGGACGGTTACATATGGTGCTTCTGAGGTCTCTTGGTTCCCCAGTATCCCAGAGTACTCCACTCTCCCTATCTCCTTCCAAAGGGGAGGGAGAAAAAGCAGGTAGCTCACTGGCAGCCAACACTGTGGTAGCTGTCACAGAGCCATTGCTGGTCCAGGGGAGCAGCAACTGTCCCTCTGGACCCTCTTGCCACTATCGCAATGGCACAGGCCAGCGTGACCACAGCAGTGGCAGCAGAGAGTTACAACTCCCCATAATGGAGTCAGTACAAAAAGGGAAGCTACTGTTGCCAGGAGCAGCAGCAGCTGTCAAACAGTGTCCCTGCTGGGCATGCAGAACAGCTCTTCTCACCTCTGCCACCTGGAGGCCCTTGAACAGCAGTTGCCAAAAACAGCCTGCCCTCTCCCCTTCTGGAAGCAGCAGTAGCTGTCAAACATCAGGCTCCACTGAAAGACACGTGAAAGAAAAGCCACCTATTGCCCCCTGGCTGGAGATGGCACTGTTGTATGCCTTCATAGCAATTTTGTAACACTCCAGCCAAGGGGCTGTGCATCTATGAATGCCCTCATAGCACTCTATTTTTCTAGCGCTACAAACGAATGTGTGTTTGCAGCCTATAGGTAATTACTATTATTATTGGAATTTTTCGATTGCAGCAGAATCTACCATCTCACGACCAAACTCTGGTCTGACGTGTACTACTGGAGTTCTGTTGGCTGCTGTGGAGTTATTATGTATAGTAATGTAAATAAGAGCACAATTAGGACCTCATTCTCTGATAATTTACTCGCTAACTAGAATGTGTCTTTTCAGGCGCTTTTATAAAAAGGCAAGTTGATCTGTCCATTTGCGTATGAATCACAGGTGATCTGTTTATCAAAAAATGAAAGCACGTTTCCTTCCAATTTCAGTTTTCTATGTGATTGATATTAATTAGGTTTTCTGCAAAGGAGGGCTTATCTTGAACAGAACCCAAAGCAGATGAATATGTTGCTGTGCAGTAAGATTTTATTTTCTTGAAATGAAGAATGGGATGAAGATACTTATCTGAGATCAAACAGGCTTCAGGTGGAGTTTACATCAGCAGCGCTTTGAAATTCATTGTTAGAATATGGTTGATATCAATAAGGAATAAAAATGGTACCCTGTTTTGTGACTGCATTTATTACCAGTAACTCATTTTCAACAGTTAAAAAATAGAGCTGCAGTCTACATCCCATTGCAGTCTTTTCTTCCTAAGATGAAAGAGGCAAGCATAGCTAGTAATGAAAATTAATGGATTCCATGAGAAGAGCTAAAAATCTGCAAAAAGGGTTGTGAATTCCCTTTCGAGTCTAATGTTAGTATATAGAGCAGAATAAAAGTTTGCAATATAAGGTATAATATCTTCCTTTCCTTCTTCAGCCACCTGCTGTGCATCTTTTGTAATAATAACATAAGTTTTTAGGACACCTATAGATAGGGATGTATCCATATTACTTTTCCATAATCACAGGCCATATTCCCCACTGTGGTATACTAAAGACACTCCAATAACTTATACTGACTCCATCTTTACACCACATTTAGGACTCCCCTTTCCTACACTATCTCCTTTCACTCATTTCTGTTCTGCTCTTCTATTTAGCCCATATTTACCTTTAAAAAAATGCTCTGTTCACTTTGCTTTTGTTAGTTGCTCGGCCCCACCCCAGTCCTTGGCACCAGCCATCTTCTTCTTCCTTCCTTGTTGTAGTTCAATCCTGACACCACTTCTCAGCCTTGTCTATACTTAGGCTGACCATAAAGAAATCCCAGACATCCAGGAGACTGTTCCCCTCCCTCCCCCTGACCCTGTGCACTCTTGCAAGTCAGCAGGGGTGTGCTGGACAGGCAGCGCCACACCACACCACTCCTACTCCATGCCCTGTGCCCCTGCATTTCTGGGATGCCCATTATATGCCCATTATCATTCTCAACAGCTAGCTGGGACCAGCTTCTGAAATATGGGACTGTTCCAGCTTAACTGGGACATTTGGTCACTCTATCTGTATTAGAATTTCAGCTGGTAATGTAGTTGCATCAGGGAATGCCACTACTGAAATCATTGGAAAATAAAGCCAGACAGGTCCAGCCCACTGCTCAAGTCAAGATCATTCCTGAATAACCCATCCCAGCCAAGTATCTGTTTAACCTGTTCTTGAAGATTTCTAGGGATGAGGCTTCCACAGTTTCTGTAGGTAGCCTGTTCCATTGCTTGACCTCCCTCTTAGTTAGCAAGTTCTTGCAAATCTACAACCTACATTTCTCCTGCTGAAGCTTAAGGTCATTGCTGCTAGTCCTGCCCCTACAGCCACACAGAAAAATTTATCTATCTCCATTCACTTTGCAATAGCCCTTCAGGTATTTGAAGCCTGTTATCAAATCCCTTCTCAATCTTCTCTTCTCCAAACTAAATAAGCCTTGCTCTTTCAGCCTTTCAGCCCTTCCTTTTAAGTAATGCTTCCCAGGCCTCTAAACATTTTTATCACTCTCTGCTGGACTCTTTCCAATCTGTCCACATCCTTCTTGAAGTGTGGGGCCAAAACTGGACACTGCACTCCCTCACTAGTGCTGAATAGAGTAGAAGAACTACTTCCTTTGATTTGTGACCCAGTATGTTGTTGGCTTTTTTTGCAACTAGAACACACTGTTGGCTCATATTCAGCTATTGGTTCACTGTAACCCCCAGACCTTTCTCTGAAAAGACCCTGAAGAAACACCACTACAGTCTGACACCTCCTCCCTGTTGGATACTGAACCATAGATAACTGTTTAATGGGCATGATGATCCAACCCTACCATACATTCATCTAGTCTGCATTTCCTTAGCTGTACTAAAGATGCTTAGCTCAGCTGCTGTGGTTATGGAAGGTACAAGATGAGATGGGTATTTGCCCAGCAAGTACTTGCACTACCCCATGTTTCTGAGCAGTAGGATTTTGCCAGTCTATCCAGTCTACCTTCTGCATTTTATAGCAGTACCCCATTTGTTCCCTGTACCACTGCTTTCACCAACACTCTGCTAGTTACGATAGTTGTTAGCATCTTAATAAAAGAGAATAGCTGAAAATTAGGGCTGCCATCTGGTTTTTATTATAAGGTAATAAGTCTTTTCCCATCCCTTATTTTCCTTGTCCCAGAGAAATACTGAAATAAAGAAAAAACATGTTTTATTTTTTGTGTCTCAGTCCCACAAAAGGCCCTCCCACTTCATGGCTGAGAGAAATGATTTAGTCTCCATGCTAAATGAATCCTCAACTTTTCCTGAGAAGAGACAGCCAATTGTACCTAATTGTGTGTGGTAGTTCAAGAATATGGACTGCTGTTCATTGAGGAATGAGCTGCTTATTTCAGTTAGGTCCACAAACTGAACACTGACAAAAAATCCAAAGAAAAAAGCATGGTGTTTTATAAATTAAGTCATTCCTCTTTTCAACAATCTCCTTTTAACTTGGCCCATGAAATGAATCGGGGAAAGATTATTTTCTGGGTAAATTGGTAGTAAAACCCTGATGCAGACAGTTCCACAATTTGATTGCAGTCTGACTTCCACTTACTGAATATCACATGAAGCAGTGGTTCAAAGGTTTTGTACGACAGCTTGAAAATCTGTAAAGTTTTTAAAGGTACTCACTGCATTGTGATCAGGTCACAGATCTAAATGTCAGTATTGTATGCCTGATTTGCACATTTCAAAACGATTTAGTAATTTTTTCATTTTATCTGCATGCATGAAGTGGTTTGGAATACAGAAACAATTTAGAATCATTTTTAGTTTGTAACAGTTCAATTAACTTAAGTGCTGAAACATGCTCCTTTCTTAGTAACTAGTTTAATCTGTTACTATTGCAAGAACGTATTTTAAAAGAATGCCAAAAAGGCCAGGGGCCAAGTAATGAGGACTTCAAAGAATGCATGTTCCTGCATAGGCATGTGTGAAAAAAAAAGGCAAACAGTTGGCTTCAGGTCATATTATGGTGCATGCTTGCCAGTGAATAAAATACAGGTTTCCTAAACAAGACATGGACTACACAACTACTGCCTTCATTGAACATTGTTATTTTTACAACCTCCAGCCTCCTCGGAGCAATTTTATTACCATTCAATAAGCAAAGATAGTAGAGTGCGATTACAACAGATGACTAACGCTTATTATATAATACACTTAAACTTGTGCCCAAGTACTAACTATGGAGATAAAGTAAATAATAAGAGCACTGCAAATTGAGTTGGACGTAAAAGTTGTAGGATGTCAAAATACATCCATGGCCAGAACTGCTTTTGTATGTTTTTGTAATTGTTGTAAT